GTGACCCATGAGTCATTAAATCATTTGCGATTGCCTCACAGTCACACCTGACACTCTAGTGCTCCAATCAATCCTTCCTCCTTTAAAACGTCTTGCTCCATCTGTTGGTCCAAGAGGAATTAGACCTACAGAACAAAATGGGGTATAAACTGACAGCCTTTACTGAATAAAATATTTCAGTTTGTAGGAAATTAAGTGAATATTAACTTTAAAAATTAAACACTATTTATACCAATTTCACTGACTACTTAATAGTATTTCCTGCAAGATAAGCGTTTATATTACTCATTTTGGCCTGCCAATCGATATTGCAAATTGAATATTCAATCAATACTGAATGTCAGTCCAGTTTCCATCTTGTATTAGTCGAGTGCCCCCACTGAATCTGTCTTTCCAATAAAAAACAGGTCTTTTAAATAAAGGCTAAACGTGATAAAGACCTCTACTGCCATCGAAGTTATGAATCATGTCCGTTGGGAGAAATGGAAGTAAAAATAGAGGAGTTCACAGTCAGACACAAAAACACAAAACATACCTTTGACTGCTTCATATTCAAGAATGTTTCTTGACTGAATCTCCTTTTTGCAGTTTCCTTAAAATTATATGACTTTTTTGTTTGGTTTTGTGTGTTTTTTGTTTGGGGTTTTTTTTTTTTTGGTGGGTGGGGGGATTTTTTTGACTGAGTGATGTAACCTTTGATATGAGGAATTTGTTTTTAATCAGCTTTTAATTTATAAATCCAACAACTAAAGGATATCATTCTAATTTAGACTTATGTTTCTGGCTGGGCCCTACTTTTTGGATACTACACACCTTTGCCAGCTCAGGGCTTGTGTCTGTTGTTGGTGCAGAAACAAACAACTAGCCTAAATAAAATGCAAAATATGTGCCATTTTTTAACATTAAGTGAAGAGACTGAACAGTGTGTTTTTTTGTTGTCTCGAGGGTCTACATACCACTGCAAGAAAGTAACACAAAAATATTTCTCTCATCTCTGAATTTAGTTTCAGCTATAATATTTGTAATACCTTGCTTGGCTGATGTACAGAATTTCATCCCCAAAGACAGGCAGATGTAGACATGTGAGTACTTAAAACTCCCTTTGTGCTTGTTCTACTCTGGAGTAGCCACCAATAAGTCCACTCACATAGAAATAAACATTCTGCTCACATTATCTACAACATGAAATATTGATCATATTATCTATAACCTTGGTACACACTTTTCTAATAAAATTAAGGTCTCCGTTTCTAGTTTCAATTTTTACTGAATACATGATAATATTGTGTAAATTATAGAGTTGTGTTTGACAAGATGTTACCGTATTAAATTTTGAAAATCCCCCCCTCTTCTTCACTCTTTGTGGTTTCAAGACAGGAGGGGATAGGACTTCAGTCATAATGGGCAATGCTATGTCCATCTTTATATAACGTCTACAGTGAAAGTAACACCATGTTTTGTCATGTCTGGTCATTTAAGTCTTCCCTTACTCTTACCACCATCCACTAGCTAATCTAGTTCCATCAACCATCCTCACTCTGTCATGGTGGACACTTCTATCTGATTCCACATGACATCTCTTTGCTGACACCACACTTTGTTGCAATTCAATCCTCCCCCTCCTCACTATCAGCATTAAGACCTTGTCTGCTGTTAAGAAGAAGGAGGAGGGACTGTACATCAGGACTTTAAAGCCCTTCTGATTTACAGCTCCACCTCCTTGCGCCTGTGGCTCCAGGTGACAGAACAAGCTTCGAACCTTCAAACTTGCTGCTCAATATGCTTGAAATATCTAGAAATTTTACAGTACTTCTCACTCTTAATCGCAAGTGTTTTCTCTGTCTGAGCCACTGAAAGTGCTATTGGCAGATTCCACTTCAAAAATGTGTAAAACGCTATGGAACATGTAGCATAGCTGAATGTTTTTGAGCTGTGTGGTATGCAAAGAGCTGAAAGGCTGAGCCTTGGGAGCTTCAAGGAGACATGGTCAGCTTGCTAGTTGAAATTCATCTAAATAAATAAATAAATTCATGGGTAAAATAAAGGCGCTCTTGTTAGTTTACAGCTGGTTCAAAGAAAATGACCATATCTGACATTCAAAGATGTTTTGATCCATAAAATATCACTGTGCTTCTACAGCTGTTCAGCTTAGCGACACGAGGAACAAACAAATAGGTTGGAAAACATGCTGCTTTGCATCTGTGTTGCCCAGTTTGTATTGACATTGCTTTAGCTCCTCTTATTACACATGAACCCTGCCTTTGAAAATCAGTGGAAAATATATATAACGTATATACAGAAAATTTAGTAGGCTCTAAATAAAGAAGCCAGGCTGCTCACATCAGTGGAGTTGTGTCCTTCACAACCAAGGATGCAAACATCCAGGGAATACGTCAATGTTGCCTGCATTATTTATTTATTTATAATTAAGAAAAAAAACCTTGTTTATTGCTGTTGTAAATGGACACGTCCCAAAAGCATGCTTTTTTCTGAGAAAATCTCACTGAGCAATGCTTTTGCATTAATTATTGTTTTGACACTAATCGGGAAAAGGGATGGTGAACAAGTGCAAGAGACAGAGGGAGAGAAATGGAACTGACGAGATGTAAGGAGAAAAAGAAGAGATCATCAGGGAGACAGAGACAGAGAGAGGGTGAGGGAGGAAGGAGACAACAGGTGTGTGTGTGTGTGTGTGTGTGTGTGTGTGTGTGTGTGCAAAGACAGATTAAATATTAAATATATCCTTATACATTTTCTAATAGAATTTTTAAAGAAAAAACAAAACAAAACTGATCAGCAAAAGAAGTACCCCAAGGCCCACCAGACATTTGCGCCCAGGGGTCCGACAACATAAAAACAACTGTTGGAAATTGTTGGGTATTTAACCCCTTGTTGTCTCATTGGAGGTGGTCCTGAGTGTCGTTGCCCACTAATAATCATGTGAGTTACCACATGAGACAAGATGTGAACAACGGTGCGGGTCATTATCATCACCAGAGCAGAGGTGTGATTCTTGTATGAGACATTGCCCAACACCACCATCATTTGCGCTATTGTGGTCACATAAATGAAGGTGTGAGTGGGACATGAAACACCTGGGAATGGATCTCAAGACTTGTAGCTGGCTGCTGGCTGGAATTGTAAGTCACTGCCTCTGTTCAGCAATACTCGTTCATTCATTTTCTCAGTCCAAAATGTGAACATTAGCATCCTTATAACACTAACAATGTCCTTTCTCTAGATGCAGGCGTCCAGTGGAGTCTTGTCCTGTTAACGTAGCTTTCCTGTGCTATGCCTTGTGTTTGTTGAATGGCCATTCGGTTTCTCCCATGTAAAGGATTCTCACTGAAGCCTAACCAGTTTTGTCTGAGCTTGATGCTGTGTTTAAAGTGCCCTGGAATGTAAAGCTTGAAGAAATTTCTTCTGAGTTCCTCTGACAAATGCGCCATTGAAGAGATGACAATCTTGTTCCATTAGTCCCCCTTTTTCTCCATCATTAATGTCTGAGGCTCTTTCCTTTGCAAGTTCACTAATTTAAGTAATTTATGTTTGTGTACTCCTTGACTTACGTGGCAATGTAACAATGTAGCACATTTAACAGGACAACTACGGGTAAAATATCAGAGACTCTCAGATGTTTTAGAACAGAAGGTGAACTCTCAAATCAGGAAGAAGTCAGTTGTTCTTTTCAAGCACTCAGTGGAAGCAAATTATGTGTTTGTGACAGTCTGCTAATACCTGCTAATAAGTGCCTAAAGAGACCGTTTCATATTGGTTCTTTGCTAAGTGATCTGTGATGTGTAGACACAACACTGGCTCATTCCTTGAGTTTGGTGCCTTTTTTTAAATACTTAAATGATTCACTGGTCAGTGTTAAGTGCCGTAACAACAAGAAGAACAATGGTCAGTTACAAGGATTGAAAATGAGTGAAAGCAGCCAGTGTCCAAAGAAAAACTTGGAATGACCTCCACTAAGCCTGGAAACAAATTTGAAAAAATGTCTGGATCCTTGGAAGCAAAATATTAGGAAACAAGTAGCAGCTTGAGACTTTTACACAATACTACAACACTCAAACTTTTGACTCTCAGGCTCTTGAAATGTGGACTGTTCCTCAATAAGGCACTTGTACAAGAGTGAGAGAAAGATGTGTGTAAACCTCGCACTTTCAATGTCATGGTGTTATAAAATGTTCAGTGAATCACTTTAGCCCACAGTCTGTCAAGCCTAAACTTAAAGCTATTTCATAATGGGCACATTTTTATAATTGATCTTCCTTTTTTAACTCTGTGTCTGAATCATCTAAAATAAAGGAATTACCGTTTGGGTGACTTAACACCATCCCAGGGATTAGTCAGAATGTAAAGTGAGTCAAAAAAGGAAGCACCAAATCAAACATTTGAAATCATTTTAAACTGGTACCTTCAATGTAAGAGAGGAATGCCATATCAGAATGTAATGTTTTACAATTACGCAAAACTTAAACAACCACTATCTCTCTGGTTTCTCAGTAGTAGTGTCATGCCATCCTACAGAGAAATATCTGGATATGTTTCAGTGTTTTATTCCTCTATTTTTAATTAGCCCGACACCCTGTCCAACAGTTTCCCCGCTCTAACAGGTTTCCCGTCGATCTATCTGCAATAATTATGCAACACGAGGTGGGATCAGGCAGGCTACCCACTCATGATATAATGACGACCACATATAGCCCTCAGCATATCCTCCACACCTGCATAATAGACTTGGAAAAGCATGTTAAATGGGGGGGTCCTCCGCTGATTTGTGGTGGCGGTGGAAGAAGCAGTCGAACCTAAAGAAAAAAAAATAAGAACAAAAGAAAACAAAAATTTCATATATGACCAAAAATATGCCTGCAGCTGTTAAATGCTGCGTCGAACGTGTTCTCCTCTCTCTCTTTTTCTTTCTCCCACATGCGCGAACACACGTTCCCTCGCGCGGCCGTGCGCGCACACGCAAACCTCGCCAAAGCACTGCACAGGAGCCCCCGACAGTGCCCGTGCTTGCTTGTGCTCCGTGCCTAGCGCCTTTGCTGCTCTGCTGGACGATTGCGCAGAGGACACCTGGCGCACAGCCGTTCATTGCAAGCGATCCCAGTGGTAAATGCTCGTTTTAACCTCTCAACTTTTGCAGCGTGACTGTTTTGTTTTTTTGGTTGCAGTTTTGTTTTTTTTTCTTTTTTTTTTCTAAAGATACCTGCTCCGAGACCAAGGGTCTATCAGGGTAAAAGAACCCTGTAGAGCCAGGCGTTTGGCTTCCAACTTAGGGCTTAATGACACGGCTATTCGCGACAGGTCTGGAAAGTTGCTTCGTGTGAGGAAGCATGTGCGCAAACTTTAAAAGCTTTTTTATAATCGAGCGACAGTTTTTCAGAATGAAGGCAGGTGAGTCACCCGTGGCGTGAGGGGCGAAAAGAGCTCCTCGGCTCTCCAGGTACTGGCAAGAAAAGACAAGAGAGAAGAAGTCGTGATCTGTGCGGTGGATAGCGCTACGGAGGACGGAGGGAACGGACCGATGAGACAATATGGGTAAGTAAGTGGAGAACCGTGTCGTTTTAAAACGATTCCCGCCCTTTGTGAATGTGTAGACGTTTAGGGAAAAAAAAAAATCCCCAAGTCTTCTGTGGCATATTAATGCGCAGCAAGCTGGCATCTCCTTTATTTAAGAGCAGGAGACTACTTTTGTCCTATTCGCTCAGAATCTGTGTGAGTACTTGAAAAAAACAGAGGCTTTCGTTTTCTATTTGGGAATTTGAGCAGGGGGGAAAAAAAGGAAGGAAGAAACAGACGGGAGAGTTCATGCTTGTGAATATCAAGGCGAGGAGACAGAGAAGACTACTGTCACCTTATTGGTGTGGAAGTGATGTAGCCCTAATCTGAATCAGTCGACGAGACATTGCAACACGAGCTGAAGCTGAACAGCTCATTAACTGTCCTTGATTTTTATGCTGCAATGGCAAGTTTGTTCACCCAATCTGAACCTGAAATGGGCAAAAAAAATGGTGGTGAGATGTGCCTGTTTTCTTTGGCTTCCACCTCATACCCCCTCTTGTTTCTCCTTTCTAAGCACTGACATGTTTTGACTGCCCCTCTTCTCCTGACAGCTCTGGGTACCTACAATCTCATCCCACACTGCCTATCACCTCCTCCATTTTATTGACTGTGGGTGCTCCAAAGCTAAATTCACTCCTCAGCCTTACAAACCCACACTTCTCTTCAGTGTTTCAGGGGATTCTTCGTGTTCTGCAGCTCCAGCACTTTTTTTTTTAAACATATACTTGGGATCCTCAAACAAGTTTTGGGTGTTTGGGATTGTCACTGAATATGCGATGAAATGACGCTGTCACTTTCAAGCAGTCTGGAGCTGCTCAAACGGAAAACCTCATGATGTTTCATGTCATTTCCTTTCAGTGCAACTTTTGTTGTTGAATAGCTCAGTGAAAGACTATTATTCATATCCAGGCATGCACGAGTGCTTACACGCACCGTTGGACCAGAGCATGTGGTGCACTGAAACCTATATGAGTTGTTTTCTTTTTTCCTAACTCTTCCTAACACTGCAGCCACTCTTTTTGTTTGACTTGATTTTCTGTTGGATTTATGCGCCTTTTCTTTGTTTTTATTTTTCTATTACTAAATCTAATGAAAAGCTGAAACAGGCCCAAGGAAAACATGGTGCCTACACATCTGTGCAGAATTGTGGCATTTTCCCAAGTAATGAGGAGCTTAGTGCTGCTAATGAGCACATTTTAATTATGTCATCACAATTACTATAACCCAGAATAAGTGGCTGCATTTGTTAGGATATCCACACTTCTCACTAAAGCGCTCTCTTACATCCCAGTCGCACCCATCACCTTGTTTTCCCTCATTCAGGGGCTGATTAATTAGGGGAAGTTTATGCTGTTGGCAGGGCTGAAGTTTTCTTTGTGAATTCAACAATAAAACTTGGCATTATCTTAATATCATATACAGAAAACTAGCAGCTGAACAGTTTAGCATCAACAGAAGAATGCTCAATTGTCCTCTCATTAATCAATTACTAGCTTGGTCTAACTGTGAATAATTTCCATAACAACTTTCTTCACTGTGCCTGTTTTGCCAGACTGACTCGGCTTCAATGCATTCAATTTGCATTGATAAAAAAAATAGAAATGCAATAAAATGTCACATCTCACATTTTTCTTTTTGACCATTTCATGTTCAAAACTGGTAACCAACAATCAAGTAATATTTTTACAGTGCATAATTGCTCAGTGTGCAATTTCACTGACAGCTAAACAGTGATGGATGTGAACTCCCCTCTCCATGGCCCGAGCAGTGAAACTTGTATTCATCCCACAACAATAAATGACACAAGGAAGCTACATTTTCAGCTCGAAGAGTGAAGCAAGAGTTTCTGTGACACGGCATCTCGGTGTTCACCAGTCTGTCCGTACACACTCGTCTACTGTAGCAGAACTGAGGAGACAAGAGCAACAGAGCCGTTAGACTGAAATAACGTCCCTTATATTCAATAATCCGTCAGTTTCCTCAAGCAGACTGAGACGCTAATTAGTCCATGGAGCACTCTTGAAAAACCTCAACTGAATGTCTTTGAAAACAAAGAAAAAAGAAGAAGTCACCTGTGTGCACAGCTTTTTTTAAAAATTTCACATTTTAAGGCTTATAATAGTGCAGATAATTAGGAGATCTACTGTTGTTTATAGGTTGCTCTTGGCAGTAAACCATCCACTTTTCTGCAGCTCCTGCAGTCTACTTTTTTTCCTCAGCTTCTTAAATTCATGTTGCCAGTAATACTGCCAAGTTTTAATTAAATCAAATACAGTAAATAAGTTTATGTAAAAGACAAGGTCTCTCTGCCCTATGGATTAAAACTATAACAGAACTTGTTGCAGTTTCCTTTAGACTTTGCACAACTTTATGACTTTTACAAAACCCTGTCTCTACTTTTTAGAAAACGTGAAGACAAAAAGTCCGACTTTGAACAATCTAAACAGTTGTAGCTCTAGCTACTTTAAAACCTGCTGAAGCCACCACTAAGAATTATTCTCATTGTGAGGAATCTTTCCTTATTCTGAGAATGACTGAAAGTCCCCATTAGTCATTTTTTTTTGCTGAGGTTTAGTAATATGTTCTGTACTGCTTCCCACTCGTGCCATCAAACTGTCATAATATAGCAGATTATTTCAGTGTACCTCCAGGTCATTGATTTGAAGGGTTTTTGTCCCTGTTGTTGTGCAGACTGTTGGGCTATTTTGAAAAGCAATGCCTTTTCCATTTTTTTTTTCCTTTTCTTGAAATCCTGCAATGACTTCAGCTGTGAATGGCTTTCCCAAACAATGTGTCCCGCACATTGAACTGATACGGTGAAATATGGGCAGACACACAAAACTGAGAACAAAGTCTGGCAGTAAGAAGTGGGAGCTGAGCTTGGAGAAGAAAAAGATTCTGCAGCTAGAGGCATATGATAATGTTTTATGCCACTGAGGTGCATCACGGCCTGAATTTGGTTGTCATGGTTTTACATTTGATTATGCAGGCTTCTTAATATTTTTGGCTTGATTTGCTTTCTTTGCATGTCCACCAGCCTGAGCAACAGAAAAGATAATTAATTATCCAAAATTATTCTGGTCTGCTACGATTCTGCAACTAAAATCACTTGGTAAATAGGAAAGAGATTTGGGTTTTGGTTAAAAGAAACCGCCAATGACATCATCAAACACCTCTTACTCAGTTACCACAGTCATTATTCATGTGGCCACAAGAGGTCACTTGTCAGAAAACTTTAAACATAGTGATTTGAGAAATAAAAACAACATTTCTGTCAAGCTTAAAGGTTCTTTATGCTTGATAGTTAGATGTGACAATATAAGGTTAATTTTCGCTTAAATACTTATTTTCTGTCAGAAGTTGAATATGATAAATGTACTGTCAAACAGTACAGTGAACTCAGTGTGATCTTCGAGGCTAATGATGCAAGCAGCAGGAAATCAAGGCTAGTCAGACCAGGAAATGTTTTTCAAATCCTCTAATTTTCCAGCTTTTGTGAGCCAGTTAAAATGACAGGAGTGGTACTTGTTATGGTCTTCTGTTGCTGTAGCCCATCTGCTTCAGCGTCCAACATGTTGTGAATTCACAAATGCTCTTCTGCACATCTTGGTTGTAATGAGTGGTTATTTCAGTTACTGTTGCCTTCCCACCGGCTCAGAGCAGTCTGGCCATTTTCCTCTGACCTCTGGCATCAACAAGGCATTTTCACCCAGAGAACTGCCTCTCATTGGATATTTTCTCTTTTTCTGATCATTCTCTGTAAACTGTTGATATGGTTGTGTGGAAAAATCCCACCAGACCAGCATACTCAGACCAGCCCATCTGGCACTAACAACCATGCCACATTCAAGGTCACTTAAATCAACTTTATTCCTCATTGTGATGCTGAGTGTGAACTTCAGCAGGTCATCTCAACCATGTCTAGATGCCTAAATAGAGTTGCTACCATGTGATTCTCTGATTAGTTATGTACCTTACAAAAAGTTGAACAGGTGTACCTAGTGTCGTGGCTGCTGAGCATAGATGTGTTTGTCATACATTTTAATTATTGAAGACTGTGTTCTATACTTCTTATTGTATTGAGTTATAATATATATATATTGATACTATAAGTAATGGTTTCTAGCTAATGTATTAGGCAAATCATAACAATATTGTTATTGAAAATTTTTGACTGTGTTCATTTTTTTTCTCTTCCCACAATCCAATTTTCCATCACATTATCTGCTTGCAGTGCTTGCAATCTTCAACTTCATTCAACCTTTTATGGTTATATTTAGACACTCAAAGAGAGTCGTTAAGGTTACGGTGACTTGACAGAGGTGTTTGCTTCAGCTGACTAAAAGCAGTTTTTCTCTAAGCTTAACCAAAGAAATTTCATTGCCCAAATCACAAACAAAAATCTGGATGAAACCTGTGTCTCTGTTGTTGACTAATGGCGTATCTTCTTAAACTGGCCGCAACTATTATGCATTAGGCAAACGATGAATTCAGTTGTAAAATGCAACTCATTGCACTCCCCGCATGGAAGTACATGACATCACTTTATTCCAGTAATGTCCCCCACACTCCAGACCTGTGCACATGATGACAATTTGTTATGTGAAAGAACCTGCAGTGGTTCTAACTTTGGCAGAGAAAGTGTTAATTTATGTAGTAGCCCATCGCTCATATGACCTGTAAGAGGCTGATTTAGAAATTAGGTTTCCAGGGGCTTTAAAATAATGAAAAGTAATGACCAACACTGTCATTTATTCTGACTACCACAGCATCCCTGTGTATGCTCATCTTCGTGTGTGAAGACACATGAAGAAAAGAAACTGTTCAGATAATATTTATGCCAGTTTTGTGCCTTGGTTATGTTTTATTCAGAGCAATTTGTGCATTTGGTGCTTTATTCTGAAGAATTTCTGCCAGGAGTCTTGATTTTTCAAGTTAGCAAAAGCATTTTGGAAAAAGAAAATGCACCTTGTTTT